CCCCCCACTCCTCCTTTACAATTGTAATATGTCATCATGCTGACATGCTCCTCCTCAATCTGTGAAATTTCAGGATAATCAAACACTTGTTGTAATTTCTCTGTACACAGCTGTACAAGTGTTACATAATCTCAGAACCAACAGGACAAACAGTTCTCATATTTATTTAATCATGATGTACAGCCAGAATCACTGAAAACATAGTATACAGGTCCAGCGAGTCTCTATCCTGACCAATGAAACAGTCTACATGGAGATAAAATCTTGAATGTAAATGTCCACTGCTAAATAACAAGTGTGGTGTGTAAAAACGATTTTGATTGGTTTGGCGTATCTGGGAAACATTTCTGTTAAAACCTTTGCAGCTGTAATACCACCTCGGAAAGTTTTATATAAACATGTGCATCACCATCAGACCCACAAAATATCTGTAGATAATCACTCTAAAAATATCATTACCAAATGTTGATCTATCTATCTTAAAACCTCTTGACTCTTGTCAAACTTACCCAGTTCATCTTAACATTACCAAATTGTTTTAAAAAGTTTTATTTTTATCAAAGTAATTCTTTTTATTTTGTAGATTTCGGGAAGAAATATTTTCTTACATTTAACAGAATTTAATAAAATAACCATTTTAATTAGTGGTCCGACCTGACAGGACACTGGAACTTCCCGCTAAGTTAACCAGACCTCTGGAGACTGGCAATTCTTGTATCAAGTTCTCCAGATAAATAAAGCATCAATCAGCGTTTTTTTACATTCAGTGATGATAAACCATTCTGAGTTTTTGTATATTCTGGTATACTGGAGCACAAATTCTGTAATCAGTTCTTGCAATGCCTATCACATAAATGTTGTGTATAAAATAAGCGTCTCTTGAGATATCTGTTTGGATGCTAAACATTGGCATTTTCTCCTGATTCTTCAAATAAATTTGTCAACAAGTCACTTGTGAAGATATCATTCCACTGAAAAAGGAGGTTCTAAATCAGTCACTACAGCAGCATGGCGGATAATTTCACAAAATGGTAGTAAAATAGGCAAAGAAATCTAATTTCAACCCAAAATATTTTCATATTCTGTTTCTAAGGAAACTTTGTTATCTGAACATCGACAAAGAAAAGTCCACAAAATGAAACTGATTTGAAATAGAAATTTTGAATATTTTCTGAACTATTTGAAATTGTCATTTGTTGGTACCCAACTTAAATCAAACTATCGTTCCAAAGGTATACCGATATAACTAATCTTTAGATTTCCGATTGACAGCAACCAAATTGTAATACTGTAAGCGCACTTATTTTAACACACTCAGATTTTAGTCCATCATCGAATTTTAACAGATCAGTGCATTGAATGAATTGGCGCACACACAAAATACGTAACAGAAAACAATATACAAGGACTTTGATTGGTGCAGTCATAACTAAGCACAATATTTAAAGTATGAAAAGTACTAAAATAAGTTGTACATTTACAGATGTCAATCTTTCGTTGAAACATATATATTACAAGAGGCCCATAAGGTCTGTATCACTCTTCTGATTTTATTTTTCATCTGACATTTCTGAAAATTACGGCCATCCTGGATATCAAACTGATTACAATATACTACACTTGGCCAGGGCAAAATGTCAAACATTTGTGACAATTTTGGTTGCAATTTTCTTGGTGGAACTATAGAAAGTTAAAGAAATATCTCTTGTCATTGAGGAAAAAAGATTGCCTGTATTGGATCTTAAATCAATCCAAAAATAGCCCCAACATTTGTTAATGTCTAGAATTACAGGAGGATTGTTCATACATAGTTTGGCAGAAACAGTTCAATTGCTCCCTTCAAGTCCAAAATCCTTATTAGAATGATGTGTTAAGTTTAAGTCTTTTACTCGTTCCCTGAGAGACAGAGAGGGGCAAAGAGTTTACATTAATATAGGGCTAAAACAACACCTTATCACTTCCACCCCTCATCAAACCTGACTCAGTTTCCACATTTTACCTCAAGATATTCAACCAATTCTAGAGCAGAAGAGATAGTGATTCCTCTATGAATAAACTCTATTTATGTATAATCATTATTTAAAACATATCTCAGTCCATGAAAGTCCATCATACCCAGTGGAAGCCTAGCTTACAGTGTAGTAAGATACCAGAGAGGGCCCCCGGTATCTCGGGGGAACCTGTTTATACCAGACCTGGATTATAGGCAATACTAGAGGCAGCCATTATGAATTCAAAATTACTCAATGAATATGCGAATGGAAACGAGATTCTTACTTGTATTTAAAGAAGCAGAATGGCTGATAAACAAAAAAAACAGATTCTGATGGTTTTCTTGGTGATTACTGTTCTATACCTGTACCGCGTTCGTGAATTTTGAATCAGTTTTCTAATCAAGTTCATCACAGAAGAATACAGAGGATATTACGTGTGCTAATGTGTTGGGGAGTTTTACAAACTAGAGCACGAAAAACAAGCACATTACATTAATAAATAAAGTATGTTTGGGGAGCTGATGAAAGCTCATCGCCACGCCATTTTAGAGCTCTTCTGGCAGTGCAGATACACCATGATATAACAACCCTCACCTTGGCAATCTGCCTCCGATACCGACTTTGAAGATAAAAAGTTAAGTCGGAGTTTCATACAATATTTTTTTCACATCTTAAACAGAAGCAAAGTCTGGTGCAAAACAACGGCTTTCTGTGTGTATTGGATGTCTACATAACTAGACAATAGGGTAAGGCAAGCATTTCCTCCATTTCTTAACAATTAAATGAAATCCCTGAACGTAACTGTCTGTATTTAATATTTTGGCAGATACTACCTTACAGAAAAATAAATGAAAACACAGAATTTTCTTTTCTCACACGAGACTACAAACTGAACTGTTGTCCATGTAACAGACTTGGCCAAGATAACTAGAACATGTATCCTTTTGTTCAATTTTAAATGGCCTCCATTGATTGACACTATCAGTCCTAAGTCAAAGGTGAGTCGAAAGAGGAAATCTGACAGACTGAGGTGTAATATTATTGAAGGATTTGTTGGTTTTATAACTGTGCAGTACTTACGCATCTTTTGTATGAACTTCGCAGTCAAAAATCGTGAAGTTGGTAGACACAAATTCCATGCCATTCATCAAGACGGACAACTGCATCACCACATGATCTACAACAAAACATTAATACAGGGTCAAAGACATGCTTACACATTTAATAATCACTTCAGCAACTTTATAAAAAAGGTCATCAAGGAATAGCGAGGTGATCAAATATTAACAAGGTCTCCAAGGAATGGCAAGGACCTCGAGAATTGATATGGTCCCCCAGGAATGGCGAGGACATCGAAATTTGATAAGGTCATCTAGGAATGGCAAGGTCATCAAAGGATTCTTGAGAAATGGCAGCCACCATCAAGGATATGCAAGGTCATCAAGGATTGACAAGGTCATTAGGTATTGACAAGGTCACCAAGGATTGACAAGGTCACAAAGGATTGACAAGGTCATTAGGGATTGACAAGGTCATCAAGTAATGGCAAGGTCACCATGATTGACAGTATTGAAAATATTGGCAGTAAACTTCATTGGAAAAGATAATAAAGAGACAAATATGGACAATAACATTAGTAACTAAATACTATTTTGATGTATGACATGTATATTTTACATGGAAAGTGAAAGTACAAACAAGGTCAGATAAAATGGTTAAGTGTGTTCAATACATCATCAGATAGATTGAAATACTGTGTAAATACCCACTACCACATAATGGAACCACATGTACATTTAAGCTGGCCGATTGAGGAAGAATGTTCCGGGCCTGTGTTAGTATGTTGATATAAAGGTATTAGTATGTTGATATAAAGGTAATAGTACACTTGGACAAGTGTTACACAAACCCTAGAACACATGATACCCGCCACATTGTTTGTATCACATATGACAGCTAGAAGATTGTGTAAATAATTGGGTATATGGTGTAATCTCTGAAATCTGACACTTTTGATAGCAGGTGATTACTAGGCAATGTGACTGGGCTGTCATAAGTCGGTCTCCATTCCACCCTACATCCTACTAAGATTGAAATAGCTTGTGTCTATTGCCGTTATGGTATATTAAGATGCTGAAATATAATCAGTTCTTTCAGCAAAATAACTGATTTTTTTTTGCTTTTTCTTGAATATTTGAAGTGGACAAACATGAGACCGATGATGAGAAAAAAAAGTACAAAGGAATCACGTTTTATTTAGTTTAGGTAATCGGAAAAAGACTTAAATTGAATTCAGGTAAATTTCACACTAATATCTTAGCCAGTTATTCAAATGACTAGATTTTAATTGTAGGTATCCCTGATAACCTAAACAAAGTAGGAAGGTAACCCTTAACCCTTTCACACCTACGTAGCTTTAGTAGACTCTACCATACTTTTATTTGGATGAGTCCTTTATGGTCTACAGTGGTGAATGGGTTAAATAATGTCAAAATGCATCACACACAAAATATGCTTGTGACAATATCATACAGTGAATGACCTTTCCGTGTCATTGTCACTCAACCTCATAATCTGACAATAGTAGTTACATTGACTTATCTCAATAACATCCAGTTTATACTGACGTGTCATCAATATTTAGTATTTCTATCTAGACATTTGCATGAAATCAATTATGAATAATATTTTCAATGCCTTGCCTTGTGACTCTTGGCGTGGCTGCCGTGAATTCATCGTAACACGAGACTGCCTTTCCAATATTTTTTATCTAGCATTCCAGCTAGATAGTGTCGTAGGCTATTATAGTGGTTTTATATGGTGTCCTGATTCACACTTTCCCGTGACAACACGGTCGGTGCGTATGTAACACTATCTTTTCCGATGAAGGAAAGGAAATAAAGAGTATTACACGGTGGTGTTATACCGGGATCCCAGGACAGCGGAGACGATAAGGTGTTAAACTACTAGCCCAAGCCCTGACAATGAATATAGAGGGCGCTAGTGGGGAAGGTGCCGTGTTGGGTCTCCGAGAGACTACCGAGTTACCAATGACAACGACCAGCATCACATTCTCAAAACGGAGATGCAAACAAAACATGATATCATTGCATACCCCATGATTTCTAAAAAAGATACGGATATTATTTTGTCACAGCAAATCCATTTCCTCTATTGTCGAAAGAAATAAAACAAGATTGCGTATTTTCCAGTACACTTTTATCCTGTCTAATTAATGTCATAAAATGTCATCTGCAAGTCCCTGTTAGACTATTACGGCACAAAATGTCAGAAGAGGAAGGGGACCAGCGTGTCCTTTATTATCATTCTAACCATGGACAAAAAAAGGAATTCTCCGGAGATACTGGTGACGTCTCTGTCTGTGTGGTAACCTATCGGAGACAAAATGAGGCACCCTAAACGGAGAGGAGGGGTCGATTTGTATTACATCATTAACCTGACTTCCATGCTTGGATCATCAGTGCTACAGAGTATCGGTCCTGAACAGTCATGCAGGCAGGACTCAATGACTGTTATTTAGTGGGGTCTCCGACATGATAATTACGGCACAAACGCCCCTGTGACAAAGAGGAGATGAGGCCATTAACTTGAAAGAAATCCAGCGTCCTGTTAAAAAGACCTGCCCAGCCAGAGGAGGAAATCTACCCATTAAAATGTATTGGCGACCACTACACTGAAGACATTCCAACTCTCATCACTTTCCATTCTTTTTGTTGCCACGTCCATTTGCAATTAGAAATGGCGCTGAATACAGAGAGCACCAGAACTGTAAGGGTGCACACCACACCAATGTCAGGGGTCGTGGGTTCAGGTGTAACATTGTACGAGTCATAAGTGCAGGGGTCATAGGTCGTAATAGGGACCAGGGATATCATAAAAGGCATCAGAATTGTCACACAACAGGTTTCAACTTGAAACTTCAGGTGATAGAGCAGAGTGGTATACTCCTAGTCGTGAGCTCTACTCTCCAGAGACTTCAAGACGATTAAGCTTTGACATCACAATTCACTGAGGAATCTTTCACACATGCCAAAATTAATAATCGATATATAAATACATCTTTTTTTATTCCTTAAATGACTGACGGGTGATCAGCAATTGTAGGCCTCATTTCCCTAACGGGCTGAGTCAGCCATCACTTGTCAGCTGGTCCTGGTAGTCCAAATCTCTGAAGGACAATATATCTAACATATCTGCCTAACTCTAGACCAGCCTGTCTATAACATTTCCACCAAACCATATCACTTTTGACCCCCTATACATTGTCCATATTTGCCCTGACTCGAGAAACATATCTGACCCGAGTTTATATTTGCCTAACTCTAGAATCAATTCAGACCCCAGTAGATTTGTTCATGTTTGCCTAACTATAGCATCACTTCTGATCTATTAGCCTAACTCTAGCATCAGCACCCTTTGTCTATACAACTTGATCATTTCTGACCTTACAACAATTGGACAATATATTTCTACTTTCACAGCCATGACTACAGTATCCATGTCCAGACACCTCCAATAACACATTCATTCTGACCCACGGTCACACTGTGATTCATCCTAACTTCTATCCATCAATGTTCCTCCCTCTATCAAATCTATATTGCATAATGGAGGCAGTGTAATACACATTAATATCAAGCTCCACCTAAAAGCTTATAACTTAACTGTAAAACTTCCCATCTTTTAAATGGACCTACTTATCTTTTCAAACTAATATTGCTTTTGCAGTAAATACCAGTCGAAAATAAAATGGTGTTTTTTTTCTAATCTAAAAACTTATCGGGACAATAAATAATGGAGAAATGATACAAAGATGTTGAGTCATCTCAATAAAAGTTTGAAATGGTCCATATTTTAGAAGGACATCCAGCATCCCTCCTTCCTCATCTTTCCCCACCCCTGTTGCTCTGCAGGTATATAGCCTAACATTGATCGACTGGTTTGACACATTAATATTCTAATGATGTATTATCAGCGAGTTACCAGGATCGGAGGACTGTCTGGCGCGACACTGTCATGCACATGCAACATGCGTAGTGCTAAATGCAGACCTCAATTATCATATTTTATGACAGAATCGACCACCTTTGATTACCAATCATCCCACATCAAAACCAATTCCAAAGATCTGTCAATTTAACGACTTTTGATGGCCCATGTTTGAGGACAGAAACCTAAGCATGACACAAGTTTTTAGTGATAAACCTTACTACAGCGATCATTAGTGTTATGGTTAAAGGGTCTCCCAGCTACACAATCACACCAAATTGGGCTTAGATAATTAACCATAAATAAAGAAATCTTTATGAGTTTTGACAATTCAAATGACATTCATTTCTTGTGTACAAGTTTATCACTTCTAGAACAAAAAAACGTTTCAAAAGGATCAGCTTCCATCACCTTGTAGCAATGAGTCTCATTAACGGATGGGACAGGACTCAATGAATATATGCAAAACAGCCTAATTAAATTTTCATGATTACCCTATCAAATCATACCCTTCATATTGCCCGAATAAATTGGATATAAATTATAAGTGAGCTTGACCCATGCATCCATCAATTACTCAGATAGAAATAAGGACCTCAGGTGACTAGCTTCAGCATGGGTGGTGTGTGGGGAAGTGATGGTTTGGGGTAATATTTTGGGATTGATGACCTTGTCGGACCTTGGGTGATGTGTGGTGCAGAGATGACCTTGCCTGACCTTGGTTGATGTGTGGGGCAGTGATGTTGGGTAATGAATAGATCAGTGATGACCTTGCCTGACCTTGGTTGATGTGTGGGGCAGTGATGTTGGGTAATGAATAGATCAGTGATGACCTTGCCTGACCTGGGATGAGGTCAGAGGATATGTGCTCATTATTATGATTCACTTTTGCCGTAACTTGGCTTTGATTACAATTTGAGAAAATGGTCAGATAGCCTGACAGATGACTGGTGTGATAATTATGGGATATAGACCGTAGAACTGACGTAAAAATAAACATGTATGCTATGTGATGGCCAGGATATTACACCTGATTAACTGCCTAGATTGTCATTACACCTGTTTTCTATGTTACCATACCAACAAAACATATCTCGTCATCTTCTATCTAAACTTTTGTACCATTTTTGATTGATTAATAGTAAACTGTTGGACAGGTGAGTAATCTATTGACAAAGGTATGAACAGCTCTAAGGTATGTTGGCTTCCCACGTCTGATTACAGGGTAGTTATCCTGATGTGTGTCATATTCGGGATGCGAGTAATTTGTTTACAGGTTCATGTCATATAAGGGTTCCCATGGTAACAATGTTACAAAACTTCATATCCTACTAGTTTTTATTTAATAATCTAAATCAGCACATGTTTCTTTCTCTTTTTTTCTTTCCTTCCTTTTATCGTTTGAATATTTGCTATTTAATATCTAATGAAGCTGGGACACCTGGAGAATAATACCACTATCAAATCCTGATTAATTTCCATGTCGCACTCAAACCTCCTAGTTTGAACAACATATAATCCGGAGTTATCTACCCACGATCTTATTGCCTTTTGTGAAAGCGTAGAGATTTTGATCACACTAGATTATAAAATCAGTCCAGTGAGGCTGGAGCACATTTAACACAGTAGATGGTTTAACAGATTCGGTGGCCCAGCCTGTGTCAAATGTCCTGCATTTCTACCTGACAAGTGGACTATATGGCCCACAACTCGTAGATGTGATCGCTGATAGTCCACCGCCCGATTCATATCTCAACACACACGCACACTGCCATAAAAGACTGTTTGATTTGAAGGTCACTGTAATGACCTTGTAGAGACTTTCCTAGGTATACACTGTTTCAAACTGGCGTATTGTTTAGTGGGACTTTTTTATGACATGTTGGTATGACAATAGACGTTCACACCTGTTGTGTGTAGTGTTACAATCTACACCACACAGCCTGCAGTTCTCATTGACACCACCCTGTTTCTACGGGAATCAAATAACTGTTACCAGCAGGAATCATGTAAATAGAATGGTTATAAAATTGATAACATTTAAAGTTATCTGTAAATATCATGAGGATTAAATAAATGAAACTATTTCATGGCAAGCCTACATCTTTAGTGTATACAGTGTTTATGATGGGTGTTTGTGAATCAGTATCACAGGGGGATCTTACACTCACAGGGGGGGGGGGGGGGGGGGGAGTCATAATACTACATAGCAGTTACAATAATACATAGTAGGTAGGTCAAAGGTCACACCTGTTACCGCAAGAAAATGAAATCTAATATCCCTGTTACAAAAGTGTTCTTCACTGCACTGAAATTCGACCTCCTCATACAAAAGAGTTCCATGGTAACAAGATTGATGGCAGTTTTGATCAGCCTATTTTAAAGTTTACAAGAGGTTGTGTATGGACGTAATAAATGGTGTGTGGATGGAAATCAATCATCCGGAAAACACTGCCGTTTTTTCCAGTACACCACTCTAGAGTCGATGATGTGTGAAATCTCCTAACATCACAAGTACATTTCACGTAAATAGCCCTATATTTCATCGCCATTGATCACCATTACAATGTGATTACCCTCTGACCTCAACACTTTTATTGCATATTTTCTACAATATTGTACAAATGTAAAACTTTGCATCACAGGCCACCAAATTAATTCTTCCAAACTTTAAAAAAAAAAATCATCAACATGAATATTTTTTTCCTCCTCGGGTCCTGCTGTTTAAACTTCTATATAATGGAAAATTAAAATTACATTAAACTAGATTACAATATTTATGCCCCAGCTTCTGCAGTGATGTAAACGCAAAATCTAAGTCTGTCATTTAAGTGGAAAATATAGGTCACTGTGATCTACTGGTCATATGATGGTGTAGTACTCCCCAGGGAGTACTAATCTGACATATCACTTTGAGGACTAAAAGACTAGCAATGTAAGAGAACAGAAAAATAGAGCGATGTGCAAATTCTACCTAAAGTGACTTTATTAGTGAAACAGAAAAAAATAGTTCACAGCAACACAACAACTTGCTATGGACATCAACACCTCTTTTCCACAGACACAAAGACTTTCTATGGACATCACCACCTCTTTCCTACAGACACAACGACTTGCTATGGACATCACCACCTCTTTCCCACAGACACAACGACTTGCTATGGACATCACCACCTCTTTCCTACAGACACAAAGACTTGCTATGGACATCACTACCTCTTTCCCACAGACACAACGATTTGCTATGGACATCACCACCTCTTTCCCACAGACACGACGACTTGCTATGGACATCACCACCTCTTTCCTACAGACACAACGACTTGCTATGGACATCACCACCTCTTTCCCACAGACACAACAACTTGCTATGGACATCACCACCTCTTTCCCACAGACACAAAGACTTGCTATGGACATCACCACTTCTTTCCCACAGACACAACGACTTGCTATGGACATCACCACTTCTTTCCCACAGACACAACGACTTGCTATGGACACCACCACCTCTTTCCCACAGTCACAACAACTTGCTATGGACATCACCACCTCTTTCCCACAGACACGACGACTTGCTATGGACATCACCACCTCTTTCCCACGGTCACAACAACTTGCTATGGACATCCCCATCTCTTTCCTACAGACACGACGACTTGCTATGGACATCACCACCTCTTTCCCACAGACACAACGACTTGCTATGGACATCACCACCTCTTTCCCACGGTCACAACAACTTGCTATGGACATCCCCATCTCTTTCCTACAGACACGACGACTTGCTATGGACATCACCACCTCTTTCCCACAGACACAACGACTTGCTTTTGATGTCATTTGATAAGAAACAAGATTCTTTTTCCACAGGAATATAAAACCTTATTTATGACCTGGTTTTTAAGAAAATTTAACAAATGAAGTTGATGGGGATTTAAATAAAAAGTCTAAATCACCCAAACAAAGAACTTCCAGCATCACACCAATAAATCAAATAATTTGTACTTTGTATTTTTTCTTCTGAGACACTTAAGAACATCCAAAGGGAAAAGTGAAATGAAGATTGAAAAGGAAGTTGTAAAATTCAGCAATAAATATCTGAAACTGCTCTGATGAACCTTACACCCCTCTTTTCTATAGCATGGCTCTAGGTAATAACAAGACGAGGATGGTTCCATTGGTTACAGGAGGGGTGGTCAATTTGGTTCTCTAGGAATTGTGTCTGCTATCGAACACCACATTGCCATCAAAGCCACACACTATATAGTTTCATGAAGTCTCAGTCACGGTCAAATATCAGCTCATCCAGTTCGTAAACCCACATCAGTCTTTTTTTTTTTTAAACGAAAAGTTGGATATATTCAATTTTATTATGAGCAAGAATATCTTAAAAACTTCCTTATAAGGCCTTTGAATTACCTTGACTATGCTAGGTGGAAATGAGATTTGCTGTAGAATGGTGGTGTGTTATAGACATATTTCTTGTATCAAGACTTTACTTGCTCAGGTGCGAAATGCTAGTTGTATTTGTCTTGGAAATTTACCTGCTCCAGATGGAAATTCTGGTACACTGTAAGCGGGCGGAGTGTTACAAGTGATCACGTTGGTTGTATGGGTCAGGTTGGCATCAGTCAACACCTTGGTATTCCCTTTGACAAAGGCACACTTAAAATTCCCGTTGAACATCGGTAGATTAGAAATGTTCAAGGTCAGCTGAAAAATACAAGAAAACAATTCATCTTTAAAAGGTAAAATGAATGAAAATCAACAAAAAGTCATTTTAGTTTTAGAACATAGCAGACGAAAAAATAACAGAACAGTGTTTTAAGATTTTTGATAGCTATCTTTTTTTGCTTATGTGTACACAAACTTGAGAAAAAAAATCGAACGATTTAAGAAACATTAAATAAATGCGATAACAGAAAATCTCGGGAAGTTAAGAATTTTATTTATTTCTCTTGGGAAATGATAACGGTTGCACCCAAGCTTTCTAAACCATTTCAGATTGATTGAGAGTAGTTTAACAGTCCCACTAAACTTGTTTGTATTGGACAGAACGGCTCCGGCCTATCTTTTTATTGTTCTACATTCATACACTGTCTGAATGTTAAGTGTGCTTAATCACAGTTTTCCTGAAACAACTTTACGAAAAGTTCCTTCATCTGCTGATAAACTTGGGGATATGATTTACAAATCAATTTGGTGTTGCTATCACGTTGAATTGATGTACATTCTTGCTGAAAATCTCTCCTCTGTTTTGCCCATTCTTTTTTCAACTTGTCAGCTCTGCGGAACTATAACACTGATTTCAAACAAAAAATCCATAGCGGCTTGCGGGTCCTAGAATACGAATCTCAACATTCTCCTTCCTCTGGGACCAATTTCTGGCTTTTATGATGGCCGTGTATGCCATTCTGGATACTACGTAATCTTGGCGTATGATTCTGGTTTCCATATCTAAATCGTTTAAGTAAATTAAAAATACATGTAGTAAGTTATTCTTTGTTCGCCTGTGGTGTTTTGTTTAGGCGAGATCTATACGTTTGTCCAATAAAATCATGATCCATCCAATTCCATCTGTGTGTCTAACCATCAGCTCTCTGGATCGCGCTCCTGTTTAATCTGTAGTGGTAGCTACGGTGGTGGTACTGTGGGGCGTGAAGGCACAGCCATTAGAAACATCATGTCACCTATTGTACTCGGTTCCTGGGAGAGCGCTCCAAACAGATTCACAAACAAACAACTGCAGGAAGACAAGATAGAAAGATTTGATGTGAAGCGATACACCGATGGTGGTCGGCTCTCTCCGGGCACTGTCCACTTAACCCACACAGAAATCTGCCTCACCATTGTGTTTGATCTGTAACTGTGATCAATAACACTATAGATGACATCTCACTGTATCATTGACCAGTGTTACACTACAATATATACAAAGATATGCCAGGACAAAATCTCCTTCAATGTTACACTAACTCACAGCATTGCTCCGATACCTTCGGGAAACCTGTCACAAGTCCTTCAGTAATACACGGTTCGACACCCAATCAACACTTTGATTTAAATTGTTTTCAACATTAGACCACTGGAAATGTGCAGAAACGATAATGACTTGAACCGCTCTTCAGTCGGTCTTTTAAAATGAAATACTATCTTATTTCAAATGGATTACATGATGTCACATTCAAACATCAAAGATCACTTTTTATATTCAGGTTAAATCCTTTAAGACAAATACAGAGGACCTTTCCCTAGACCCTGACTGTTTTAGTTCCCCTAGACCCTGACTGTTTTAGTTCCCCTAGACCCTGACTGTTTTAGTTCCCCTAGACCCTGACTGTTTTAGTTCCCCTAGACCCTGTCTGTTTTAGTTCCCCTAGACCCTGTCTGTTTTAGTTCCACTCTTAGCCTATGGCATGGTACAACAATGTAGACCAAAAGGTGAATATGTCCCTATTCTCCTGTGCTATGCCCACTCCAGACCTAACTGTATATAATATGTGTCCCCATCTTGGATAATATGCCTACAATGTTCTCCAACTTATATGTAGTAAGTCCACAAGACTTTTTATTAAAAGTTCACATGTCCGCTTCTCTTGTGCAATGCCAATATCTTACCTAAATGTACATATTTTCCCTTCCACCGGGACATCCCACACCAGACCTATAAGTACATTTAACCCCTATTCTCTAGTACAATGCCCACACCATACCTAAAAGTACATTTAACCCCCATTCTCTAGTACAATGCCCACACCAGACCTATAAGTACATTTAACCCCTATTTTCTAGTACAGTGCCCACACCAGACTTATAAGTACATTTAACCCCCATTCTCTAGCGCAATGCCCACACCAGACCTAAAAGTATACATGTCCCTGTTCTCTGGTGTGATGCCCATAAGATGCCCATAAGATGCCCATGCAGACAGCCACCAGTAGTTACAGGACCACTAACTGGCAGTCATAAAGTTGGCTGATCCTAATGATCATGCAGAGCCACCAACTTCTCCCCTATCCCTTGCCGCCCCACCATCACCAGGTACATCATTGCTGTCCCTAAACAACAATTTGTGCATATTTACTCCAGTTCCAGTTCTCTCCTGTGACCCTATTTCTAGCGCTTACCAATGACTTTCCGCTGTAAACTCGTCATGTTTATATGACTTGCAGTGCTAATCCACTTTGTTGTATTGTTGTGCTCATTAGACCCTCTTAACCCTATTGGACTATTCAAGGAAAACCTAATTGGTTACGAATCAGCTACAAGATTTACTCTTGTTGTTCCTGTAAGTATGAAACTTATCCCTATACCAACTAACATGCACAACTTAAGCCATGCACTTGTATGACCTTCCTATCACATGACAGTACAATTCTGTGTTCCACGTTTTTATGATCTTGAGGAACACACACACACAGCATTGAGATGCTATGATACACATCTACTGTTACACTTTATATACAAACAAACATCTTGTGAGCATTACAGGTTTTCCGTATTATTGTTTGATGCAGGTATCCAATTAACTCTCCTCGGCAGGTTTCACAGTTAAATAGACTGATACACAACAGGGAAGAGATATCTAAATTATCTCAGACAATTCTGTCTATTAACTTCCTGTAGATACTGACAAAGTCCCTATAATAGTTTCCTAATAGTTTACTGGTTATTGCAATAGTTAAATTGTTATCTCACTGTTATACTTAAATGGTTATTGTAATAGTTAAATTGTTATCTCACTGTTATACTGTAATAGTTAAATTATTATCTCACTGTTATACTTAAATGGTTATTGTAATAGTTAAATTGTTATCTCACTGTTATACTTAAATGGTTATTGAAATAGTTAAATTGTTATCTCACTGTTATACTTAAATGGTTATTGTAATAGTTAAATTATTATCTCACTGTTATACTGTAATAGTTAAATTGTTATTTCACTGTTATACTTAAATGGTTGCAATAGTTAAATTGTTATCTCACTGTTATACTTCAATGGTTATTGAAATAGTTAAATTGTTATCTCACTGTTATAACTGGTAACTCAGCGTAATAGTTAACTGGTAACTCAGTGTAATAGTTAACTGGTAACTCAGAGTAACAGTTTATCTGGTAACTCAGTGTAATAGTTAACTGGTAACTCACTGTAATAGTTAACTGGTAACTCAGTGTAACAGTTTATCTGGTAACTAAGTGTAATAGTTAACTGGTAACTCAGTGTAATAGTTAACTGTTAACTCAGTGTAATAGTTAACTGGTAACTCAGTGTAATAGTTAACTGTTAACTCAGTGTAATAGTTAACTGGTAACTCAGTGTAACAGTATATCTGGTAACTCAGTGTAATAGTTAACTGGTAACTCACTGTAATAGTTAACTGGTAACTCACTGTAATAGTTAACTGTTAACTCAGTGTAATAGTTAACTGGTAACTCAGTGTAACAGTATATCTGGTAACTCAGTGTAATAGTTAACTGGTAACTCACTGTAATAGTTAACTGGTAACTCAGTGTAATAGTTAACTGGAAACTCACTGTAATAGTTAACTGGTAACTCAGTGTAACAGTTTATCTGGGAACTCAGTGTAATAGTTAACTGGTAACTCAGTGTAATAGTTAACTGGTAACTCAGTGTAATAGTTAACTGGTAACTCACTGTAATAGTTAACTGGTAACTCAGTGTAATAGTTTACTGATTACTCACTGTAACAGTTAACATGTGACTTAGTGTAATAATTAACTGGTTACTCAGTGTAATAGTTTCTGGTACAACGTAGCTCAATGTAATATTTCACCAAATTACTCATTACAATATTTTTTTGGTATCTGATTTTTACAGTGAATACGTCATTAATTGGCAATGGAGTAAGGCTGCTATAAAGTACAATTGTACACTAACCCTACTCCGCTTCCGCTCAGCTTCATCTGGTCTCTAGATGCCAATCTATTTTTTTTTTAATTGATATTTGTTTTAATCCTGTCCTTATTACGTAATTAAGTTTGACAACAGCATAAACATAAAATAATTCTACTTTTAATTAACTTTTGTGTATGCCCTCGATACTAATCTAAAACAGCATATTGTAAATTCACTGTTCCCACAGAACGGGCAATTAATTCTCATTTGATTACAATAAAATGCATTTAGGTATAAGACATATCTCCCTTGGTAACATATATACCTCATAAATTATATGCCCGAGGTACCAATAAAAAATACATCTATATTGATATGTGGTTCGGATAGAGATTTCTTCTGGATGTTACACAGTCTTGTTAAAGTAAGACTAACACAGGTAGAGTAAGCACCCAAATAAATCCTTCTTGATGTAAAATTATTGTTTATGGTGTTTTTCTTTTTCTTTGTTTTACCTTTTTCAAAAGTGGTTCAGCACAGAACCACAATTACCATGCTTGCACATTTAATGACAACGATTATTTTTTTTTACATGATGTGTCCATTGTCTGCAAGTAGATATTGATTTTTGAATTAAAAGTGAAGATTAAGATGCAATTTAAGTTGATGAAAAGCAAAACAGTGGCAAAGATGTATTATTAAAATGAATTATTTCAATAAAAATTGAACCTAATTGCTTAGGATTGCAAGCGCAGCAGAGAAAAGATAGTGCTGGGTGCTAGTCTTACAAAGAGACTGTAGACGAGGACTAGTAATTTAACAAGATTAGGATCATGATGGTTCATTGGGTTGAGAACTTTCGGCCTTGCCCTTTAACGAAAAGTAATTAATGTTACATTGATTAAAGAAACAATTACAGAATGAAGACATTTCTTCAAATACGTAGATAGAGAAAGCAGGGATTTGCATTTCGTTGAGGCAGAAACTATACAACATTTCAGGTGGGTGTTTGCTTGATAGAAACTACAAGAGATTTAAGGTGGATGTTCACTTGATAGAAACTACAAGAGATTTAAGGTGGATGTTTGCTTGATAGAAACTACAAGAGATTTAAGGTGGATGTTTGGTTGGTAGAAATTACCAACAGATTTAAGACAATTGTTTGAAGAAGAAAAAAGTCTGATACAGGAGGTTTATGACAAGAATTCAAAGGTCGATGCCAAAATTTCCAGACTCGTAATTTATAGTATACATCTAAAACTTGGAGGCCTCAGAATAGAGACTACACGATGAAAGAGCCTCCAATATTTGTTATCATTTTACAGAAATCTAATCCGCTTACTACGAAAGTAATTAATTCCCTGAGGTAGGCACCAGCTTGACAGAAAACCGTAAGAAATAAAAAAAAAAAGTCAATATGTGACTGCAGCAGTTTGTTCTTAGTGTCAGAGAGGTATCAAACATGACAGGTGCTATCCTTCTTATCACAACAATACCACCGTTTACATAGACTACACCTGTAAGATGTCGAAAACAAGACAGTGACCACTCAATACAGACAATGGTATGTTTTATACGAAAGGTCGGCCAGTACGCCCTGGTCAACAGGGGACACTGCCATCATCTTTGTTGTCCTAAATATTCATTTCCAATAGCAGAGAAATCGTAATCTCCTTGTTTACTGTCCTGCTCCACAGAGAATTATTGATATTCACGCTGTAATATGTGCTACTTTCATAAAGCATCCCCTACGCATAAGAGATGACAGCCGTACGCAGGGAAACTTGATCGACACACAGACAAAATTTAGGAAAATGTAGACTTTTTTACCATTACAAAAGACAATTTCCCCTGTTTATTATCGCTTCATGTGGTTTTGCAAATGAATGGCCATCAATTGTGGTTGAATGCTACTAATTTGAAATAGAAATTGTGACAGATTGAATACGAATGTGTGTTTACTTCCAAATGAACAGGTCCTTATGGCCAGTGTGACAGATTACCATACAGCAACAATAGACCCCGGCCACACCATGGTCAACCACCTATGATGGAGTGAAGCCAATTCTCTTGTCCAAGCTGATCGACATACCGGTCAGAGGTGTCTGCCCATCAAGAGCAGTACAACTTTCACTGGAACAATCATGATGTACCTTGTCATGGCTTATAGGGAAGGCTTTCTAAATATCCACAGGAAATGTTTGCGATGTCACTGAACCTAGAACATTGATTTAATCCACTTCCTGCCTTGTCTATGAAGGTTAATACTTATTTAATTTGCTGTGATCACTCGACATCCTCTACAAAATCCTCTTTTTCAAATTAACTTGCGTTCCACCCAACTAGGTCATGGCATCCTAACAAATGTGTTCTTGATGACTAATTGATGTATCTTATCCATCTACATTGTAGGTCACAGTGACCTTATTTCTTAGTGGCAATTTTTTGTTTGGTCACTTTTTTTTTATGATAGTGATAGTTCGATTCACGTGTCTGATCCCATCTAGGTCGCAGTGACCTTATTTATCCTGTGTTGACCTACTTACTCTGGTTGTCTTTGTGTTGTCCTTCTGTATCTTGTCTGGTAACACGTGGGTAATGTTTGGACATGTCTGACCGCTATACTCCAGCCAGTGAAGGTCATGGTCGTGGTTCTTACACTCCGACACAACACTACACCTGTGAAACAACAAACAACAGAATTATTAACATTTTGTCACTAACACTGAAATATTGATCTTCTGTATTACATTGGGATATATGTACAATATGTAAGATTTACAGGAAATACACAGCGCAAGTAATATTGTTCTTCTGTACTTTTTTATCCTTTATTTTTTTATCTAAAATAGGCAAGATTTGTAAAGTATATGAAATTGAATTTTTATTTATCCTGTGCATAGACCATTGACAGAGAGTTTTATTGTGGATCCTAAGATAAGAGTGATAGGTGTGGACAGAGAAATATTGCTCAGTGGGGAAGTCTTGGCCAACTAGGGAATGGATGGGAGTTCAATTCCTCCTTCCGTCAATGTAGTGTTAATTATCACCTAGTACCCATTATAGCTGACAGTCATGTTGTCATGGGCAACGAAAATTCAGTAGATCTAATGGAGACTAGACTTAGCACCTGTTACCTCCTAGACATTAATTGATTGTGTCACACAAAGAAGATGGTCTCAGGTGTGTCCATTACCATCAGCATGACTTGTGTGTCCTTTTAACAGCATGACTAGTTCATCAAACTGGACACACCATCTAAGAACCACTAACTGTTTTACCACCTAGCAACCATGTTACTCTCCTATCACCTGGCAAGAATGCACCTCTTCTATCACCTATTTCTTTCTGTTACAATTATAGCCACCATAATTGTACCATTCAGGCTTTTGATGTTCAATTAGTTACACATATTATTTTAATTAACTTAAACTTAACCAAAACAAAACTTTTATCAAAACTTTCTTGTAATAGCAATGCAATGATGTTATCACAACAAAATAAGGATTTTGAACATTAACAGAAGAAAATAAAGACAGCTGCCCCCATCTACCACTCCTATTTTTTTCTAATATGAGCATCATCTCCGGATAACTTGCCCCCTCCCATTCCCCCAGAAAATACATCCTCTAGGCAAAATGCCTTTAACAATGTATGTATTGAATTTCAAACTTACAGAAACTAAGTATTACAGGTAAAAGGAAAAGCTGTATAACTCCAGCGAATGTCAACCAAGGATATCATTCCTAATTATAGATGTCAATAATTGTATGCATACACAAGCAATTACCCAAAATAGATGACAAGCATTTTTTTGACCTGGAGTGTAAAAACATTTGTCTGTACACACTGAAGGTCAAAATACCAAATCCTATTAATGACTTGGTGAGCTCTTGGAAACATTTCCATGACCTGGAATAAGCAACGTCAATCTTCCCTGAAATCCATTACACCATCAAGCATTTCATCGACCAAGACCACTGTACATTTACTGATATGGAGAGCAGGTTTGTACATCCAGACCCCCAAAACCTCTTTTATAGACGCCAAAACATGTTTATTATTTCCAGTAAGTAGAATTGAAAATGATAACCCTGAAAAGGGAGTGACAACCCATTTGAATATGTCGGCACCAGTAAGACGCGACATTTCTAGTACCTCCAACCTTTCAGACAGATAAAGATTTCAACCTGAAAACCCATAATTTTAACAATAGAAGATTTGGCGGGTTTGTGCTGTGGGCCTCAACACTGGGAGATCTGTTACTAGCCTCATGAGTTTTATTCCGAGTCAATTACAGTCTTTTTTTTTATGTTGGCGACTTATTCGGCGACCAAAATAATTGCCACTGGGAGACCTGATCTACTTTTACCATTCCGGAAAATAATCAACAAATATAGACTCTTGGTGTATCTGTCTGAATATAGCAACACATAAAACAGGATCACGTCAATAACCATAAGTAGCGTGGTCACCCGGTACACGCCATCATGCAAGACGGTCGGAGAATCTGTTTTTCAGTACTTTTTATAAAATGTTACATTTCTGAGATAAAAATATTCTTGCTGAACCAAAAGACTCCTGAGAGAAATCTTTTTATGTACCTAACACAGAACCTTGAAAATGAATACAGGGATCTGTTATGAGGAAAACATGTGTAAACAGCATGTATGGTTACCTTTTACATAGCGCATGTTTTCTTGTACAGCGCCAAATTATCCATACATTGCGTGTCTATAAAGATTACCTGTTGATAAGGATTTCGGCGTTAAGATTAATAGTCTACAACTATTTCAATGTAAAGAATGTCAATACACAATGTTTTCAGTGGAAAAATTACCAGTTTACAAATATCTCTTAGAGTAACATTTGCCTGTCTACAGATATTTCGGAGGAACGATTGCCTGTCTACAAAGACCTCGGAGTAACGATTGCCTGTCTACAAATATCTCAAAGAGTACTGATTGTCTGTCTACAAAGACCTCGGAGTAACAATTGCCTGTCTACAAATATCTCAAAGAGTACTGATTGTCTGTCTACAAAGACCTCGGAGTAATGATTGCCTGTTTACAAATATCTCAGAGGAACGATTGCCTGTCTACAAAGACCTCAGAGTAACGATTGCCTGTCTACAGATATCTCGGAGGAAAGATTGCCTGTCTACAAAGACCTCAGAGTAACGATTGCCTGTCTACAGATATCTCAAGAGTACTGATTGTCTGTCTACAAAGACCTCGGAGTAACGATTGCCTGTCTACAAATATCTCAGAGCAACGATTACTTGCTCACAGTGATAATGATGGACAATATACTTATATAAGATAGAATATTGCCCATCAAAAGAACAAGTTAACAGAGTTGTCGGTATAAAAGTGCACAACAAAATATTCCCATTAGATAACTGATTAATAACAATAAACCAACTGCGATATGTCTCCATCTATTTGATAATATACCACATCAAATTTAACTCAAACTGCTCTCCCCATGAGAAAGCATAGCACTGTTCAGTTTCCTACAGTGGGCTCTCTGTCAATGTGGCCAAGAAGTTTTCTGTTTCAGGTAGCACTTTCACAGCCAGCCATTCTCTATATTTAAATCGACTGAAGCGTCAAGAATATTAATATATTTCCATTCTATAGCAATCTTAATAATACCTGGTTTCCCTAGAGATCATCAGAAAATGTATATTTCCTTTCCTACTCCATTATTCTTCCCGTTTCTGGAACACCTAATGCCTTTGAGTATATCAACATGGGAATGCAGGAAAATAACTCATATTTGCAAAACTGAATCTTCGTGGGTTTTTTTTGTCTTATTCTAAATATCTAAAAGTGGTTTTCCCTGCAGCCTTATTACTCAAAGGCTACAAAAAGCCAGTACTGCACGTATAGTATTGTCTACCAGATCAGTTAACAGATAAAGACTAGGAGATTCAGTGATCCCCTGTGAAGTAACGTCCATCTATAGCCTCCTTGCCATAACTTAGAGGAAACAGATCTAGTCCTAAATTCGCTGATGACAGATAGAGCTATGTATCTTCTTCACATTGCCACAAAATTTAATTTGAGAATTTGGAAGCTGTCCATATTTTGAGTCCCCAAGGAAATGTTTCACTGCTTACTCGGCTTTGTTATTATTTGCATGCCAACAAGGCACCAAGATACAGACGGGGTGTAACTCATGTCAAGCCAGGCCAACTCCCCGGTCTCTGTGTAAGTATATGGGGCAACACTGTGTCCCTCTCCACCCTCGCCTTCATATATATACAGGGCCTCCCTCTCCACCCTGGTTCTACATTTGTATACAGGGCCTCCCCCTCTCCACCCTAGTTCTATATTTGTATACAAGGCCTGCCTCTCCACCCTAGTTCTACATTTGTATACAGGGCCTCCCTCTCCACCAAGCTAAAATGAAAAATTTGTGAAGAGTTTCATAAATTTCATATGAAATGAAAACGAGTGCGAGATCCTTTTTATAACATTATCAAGATAATGGCATTTATTAGTGTAAAACGACGATTTTCATTCAACCTTGAAATGTAAAAAGCCCCCATTTTGACTCCAGTGCGAAAGTCTGTGACGTCATCTACTTGTCCTAGGCGTGACGTCACAATTGAAACAATTGAAACTTGCAACCAATCACAGGGCTTATAGGTCATATTACATAGGTTAATACGCGAAAAATATGACATGGGTATATTTACTGGATAACACAATACGTTATGTGATATAAATGTATTCAGTATTTCAGTATAACAATATATTTTAACATCAATGCAGTATTTGTTTGTAGTGTTACGGCATCTGTTGACAACTACCATACAACAATGAAGGTTTATTTATCTATTAGCATCTGTTGACAACTACCATACAACAATGAAGGTTTATTTATCTGTTATCATCTGTTGACAACTACCATACAACAATGAAGGTTTATCTATCTATTATCACTTAAGATTGTTTCCTTAAGGAAAAGACGGCCCCATCACGAGGTTGGTATTTAAAGGAAACAGCTGACTGTAAGGAGAAGACGGACCCATCACGAGGTTGGTATTTAAAGGAAACAGCTGACTGTAAGGAGAAGACGGCCCCACTATGAGGTTGGTATTAAGGAGACAGCTTACTGGCACTACCAATACACGGTATGAATATGGATGCGGATCACCGTCAGATAAGGCTGATCCAAAGCTCCTAGTGGGACCAAAAACAGCCCTACTTGGAACGGCCATTGCCCAATGGTGTCATAACTACACAGTGTTTTCCCTCTGACAGGGTCTAACTAGACGGTGCACTTCTGATGAAGGCGTAGGATGTATGGCGTTTCATTGCTGTTACATGCACTTTTACACAATTCGACCATGACAACGTCGCGCTGGGTATAACTGCTTTAATCTAAGTTTACGTTGACTATAGTTTCGACACATGAGGTGTGTCGTCATCAGATGTCATGGTCATCTTTTCCTATTGATTACTCTTCTATTTATGGCCGGACTGGTGTGTTCCTTGTGGAATCTGTCCACGGGGTAACACAGCACTCCGCTGGACTCTTTACAAGGACGTTGATCTCCCACTCCCCGTATTTTTTTACACATTTAGTTTTTAAACATTCAGGAAGGGATATATAGTATATATTGCTCCGATTAATTATCATACAAAAATTGTATAATACAAACGGTA